GATAAAAAATAATAATTTTTTAATAAATCTGTTATGCAGTGTATTAACTTAGAATGTATGTCAATTACTATCCAAAATTAAAGTAAATCGTCCCTAAAAATCAGCCTTAATTAAGCAACGCAATTATTTTTTTGTTAAACTGCTGTTTTTGGAGTTTGATAAAAAGTTGACGTCGATTATTAAATTTTGATTAATTTTTTTAAAATAAAAAGTTTGGATGGTGATTTAGTTAAACTCTTTTTATTGAGTACTAATTTACTTTAATTTAAAAATATTAAGGAGCCATTTGCTGATTTTACCTTGTCAATCTCTATAAATCTCTATAAAGAGGTGACCGAATGTTTGTTATTTATTTATTTATTTATTTGTGTGTAAATTGGGCGTAATGTTTACATTTCCAAAATCATGCTTTGCCCAACTGTGGAGGCTAAGAATACCGACGCCATTGCTTTACAATCATTATTGACAGAGCTGCAAAGTGTTTTGCGTAAGGTCATTTGTAATGGGAGTAAAAGGGAACTAGACCGATTCTTCTCCTTCTTCCCGGAAGCAAGATCTTATCAGGTAATGTTAAAGTCTGCCCTTCATGTTGCAATTACCGCTGGCCAGGAGGACATAGCATGCTTCCTCTACCGAGAGACTCCTTCAGAATTTTTACGTGGAGATTATGGCTTCATTCTTCTTGAAGAGTGTATAACTAAGAAAATGTTCAGTAAGAGCTCTAATTATCATTTTTTTTCTTTCTCTTTGCCTTATAATTATTATTTTGCTTTTCTCTAACAAAACTTTTTGAGATCAGAAATTGCATTGGATTTACTCGTCCGTTTTCCGGAGTTGGCAACTAACAAACCCCCTCAGGGTTACATGCCAATCATTTTAACACTTGCCAAAACACCACCCCTGTTCTTCAGAGGAAGTCAACTTAAATTTGTGAGATTGTGGATATATCGTTGTTAGTACTGCTTCTCCCTTCGTATTTACATATTTTACTTAATTTTGCTTCTAATCTATTTAATTTAATTTTGAATAATAATTAATACATTACTTGGTTTAATACACTTTATAGTATATTTATTAAAAAATTATTATTTTAAAATTTGAATTAAATGTGAGAATTCTTGAATGGTTAAACTAAGTAGCTATTAGTGTATATTAAACCAGAGGGTGTATTCATTATTTTTTTAATTATTTGTTAAACTTGGATTCCTAATTACTCTCATACCTATAAATAAAATTTTTGGGTTTGCCATATCTTTTTTAATTTGTTTTCCGATTCGTTCTTCTGGATTGATTTAGTCTATTAACTGCTATTCTTTTTATTGTAATTGTAATTGAAGGCATAGTAGTAAATGTAGACTTGATCAGACCAAGCGATGCAGCTCATGGTGACTCACGACAAGGACCCTCGCGTTATCGTCAATCTTGTCTTCAATTCCTAAGTATATATTCTTCTACGTGTGTATTTTCAATATTTCTTTCTTTATTATTTTATTCCCTCTGATGACTTTCGTAGAGTTAGTTGGGTCATTTTTTGTTCTTGTACCGTAGTTAGAGGCAGTCCTTTTAGATAAAAGATAACGATCATAGAAAGGTAGTTGTTTCATTCTTTCTTATTCCTCATTTATTTTTTTTATTTGAAAGGCTCCCAGAGATGTATTGTTATTTTGGCTAGATATCAATATGTCATGGTGAGGCGATGATTATTGCAGCAACGAAACTCATTCTTTCGAAATGCTAATTACATTTCATTCATTTGCAGAGGCACTACTACGCAAGTGGGTTACAACTCTTTTAAAGATCCTTGGTAAGCAGTCGCATCTCCGCAAAATTAACCATTGATCAGAGTTTGCTTGGTTTGGTAGACGTAGTTATTACTCGGTCAAATTTTATTTTACTATATTATAAAATTATTAAAATTTTTAATAAATTTTCGATAAATACTAAATAAAATAAATACTTGACGGATCTTTCAAAATTTTTAATAAATACCAAATAAATTTCTAATGGACTCTTGAAAATCCAAATTCAATTATTTTCAATAATAATCTTTCCTTCTAATGCAATTCTACTTCATTATAATTTCAACTACTTCAATGATAATTTAATATAAAATCAATTTTATGTTTAGGGGTTTTTATAACATGTACTCTAGGGGTGTATTAATTACATATTTTAATCATAAATTTTTATTAAAAAATAAAAGTTAAATTTTAACTTCTTAAATGTCTAATTAAATTCATATGACACTAAAATTAATATTAACTCTTACATTTTTTTATATACATTTATAATAAAAAATAAACATAACATGTGTCTTAAAGGCACAAATTAAAAAATCTCTATTTTTAGTAATAATTTTTTTATATGCACTTTTAATATTAATTTAATTTTAATTTTAATCATCTAATGATCTTACTATGTTGTATAGCTTTGTGAATGCACATTTAATTATACCCGTTAGGCTTCCTCCCCTTGAGATTTTTTTGCTGCTTAAAAGAAAATAAAAAATTAAATCTTCAATAAATATCAAAAAAATACCTTATGAATTTTTTAAAATGTTGAATAAATACTAAATAAATAATTAATGGAGCTTTCAAAATCTTAAATAAATACTAAATAAATAGCCCTTAACTTTTTTAAATTCAAACTCAATTATATTATATTATATTATAATTATTGTTAAAATTTTCAAATATTAAAAACCTGCAATCAATCTCGAATAAATACTCATTGACCTTTTTTAAATCCTTCTAAAATATCAAATAAATAACCAATTAGTTTTTTAAATTCATCAATAAATAATTATAAATTTTAATTTGATTCCACAAATTAATTCAAAAAAAAAAAAAAAAGAACCCAATAACACTCCTTCCTATATTTCAATTCAATTGATTTGGCAACTTTAATTTGGGTTCTAAATTAGTTTGAAAATTGTACCTATATAATAGTTGAATTTCAAATTCAATTATTTCTTATTATAGTACAAAAATTATTAAAATTTTCAATAAATTCTGAATAAGTACCAAATGGTCCTTTAAAATCTCTTTAAAATCTGAAATTCAATAGTCCTCTAAAAAAAATTCATTTAGAAAGTTGAAACTTGATTAAATTAAATTAATATACTTTCAAATTTTTTGGTGTGCACAATACATATAATTGCTTAATATTACTTTAATTATATTAAATTTCTTACTAATTGTTTTCAAATTCCACTTCAATTACCCTACAATAATATGACATCTATATCTACATATTATTAAAGTTGAAAACAACCTACCCAAATAAGCAATTGGATTTTTACTTCAATTATGTAATATAATTAATGAAAATGCATATTATAGTATAGGAAAATACTTTGTGCATCCTCCAGTTCAACACCCGGAGTTACACATTCTATATAACCAAATAATTTTAATAATAAAATTACAAATTTAACCTTAAAAGTCATCTTTCTCTCAATACCCTTTTTTCTTCTTGTCTCTCCATCTTCCTCAACCCTTACCATCTGGTGTTTTTAGCTGTTGAACTCTTCTCCTTCCCTGAAACCAGATCTGCTTCAACCTTTTATTTATTTTTTTTTTTGGGGCTGCTTGGCGATGACAATGATGATGGTGGTGATGGTGACGATGGTGATGGAAAACAGAGGGATCTATGGTTCTGCCCCTCTCCTTCTATTTCGGTGGTGATTGAGGATGGTGATGGAGGTGGAGGTTGTGATGATGGTCTAGATCTACAGAAGGGAGAAGAATCGAGAGAGAAGAAGAGGTGGGTTCTCGGAGAACTCAATCTAGGTTCTCCAAAATCCAGGTCTGGGTTCTCCGAGAACCCAGACTAAGAGAGAGATAGAGAGAAGAAAAAAAAAAGGGTCTGGGTTTTCTAGGAGAACCTAGATCGAGTTCTCCGAGAAGAACCCAGGTCTGGGTTCTCTTAAGAACTCGGAAGAAAAAGAAAAAAAAGAAAAAAAAGGAAAGGGTAAATTTATAATTTTACTTTTAAAATTATTTGGTTATATGGAGTGTGCACCCCCGAGTATTGAACCGAGGTGTGCATGAATCATGGTCATATAGTATATTCAAAGTGACACTTCATTGATTGATTCTTATTTGCTCCATTGTTCTAAGACAAAAAGAATAATAATTAAATTGTAAATAATTATGGATAAATGTATTACTTAATAATAATTATTAAAATATCAAGAATTATAAATTAAAAATTCTATTAATGTAGATCATGCATTTTAATTTTCATAGTGACATAATACTTATAACTTTTTAATCAAATAAAATTTATTTACTAATATATATTTGATGGTGTTAAATTTTGTGTAATTAACGAAGTGGTTATACTTAGTAGAACTATCTAAAAATTGACATGTATAATCTATATAAATAAAACTTTCAATCCTTTCAATCCAATTGTTGATTTTTCAAAATATTAATTAGAAAATGAGGTTTTAGGCATATCCTCCAAAAAAAATTGGGACAACGATTTGTAAAACACTTTTTCCTTTTCTCATTTATCTTTAATAAAATGATTAGTACACACTTTGATTTGATATACCTTTCAACACTCATCCAATTTAATCATTAAAATATACAGCCAATTTAACTAGATTTTACATGCTGTCATAAGAAATAATGATTTTTTAATGGGTATATTATGTAACATGTTGAATTGAATACCGTACTAATCAGTATCTTTATCTTTAATGGATTTTTTTAACCTTTTCACCATTAATTTGTGTAAAAAATTATGAAAGAAAATTTTATATTCAACACTAATGGCACATGGAACATTTTAATTAGATATTTGATAAAACTAAAGTTAATTTTCATTTTTTTCACACAAATTAATGAAGAAAAAGTACAATAAATATTGCTTTTAACATGTGCCTAAGACACAAGTTAAAAAATTATATAACTACTACTACTGACCAAATACAACATTATTGTTTTTCTTTTCCGTTGTTTTTTGTGCTCTTTATTCTTATATGTAGAATAAAGAAAATATATGAATTTTCTTTTTTTTTATCAGCAAAACAAATATATGATCTAAAATCGAGAGATGTGTATGCTGGTGAGGTTGTAAGTTTCTTATGTCAGAAATTGCGAGATTTAGAACACAACCAATTTGTGCAAGGTAGAGCAGTGGCAGCTATCTTTCTGGCCATTAAGAATGGAAACCCGGAGCTTGCGATTGAAATTGCAAGAGCTAAGGAAGACATATTGTGGACCAGCATTGATCCTGAAGATTCAAGAACCATATTTGCATATGCTATAGCACATCGTCAAGAGGAAGTGGCAAAATTTCTTTATGGATATCAGGCAGATAAATTTTATGACACTGGTGAAATGGCAGCATTTCTTAATGGATATAAGGCAGATAAGTTTTATGACAAATTTTATGACACTGATGAAAGGGGAAACAATAACTTACATCTAGCAGCAAAGTTGGCTCCTCATTTTCAACTAGATCGCATCTCTGATGCAGCTTCGCAGTTGCAAAGTGAAGTACGCTGGTATAAGGTAATTATTGTTTAGTTTTTATCTCTATTTTTTCTTTTTCCAATTAGCTGGTAATTCCGTATTTCAACTATGCAATTATCAAATTATTTTAATAAAAATAACATATCATTCTTAGAAAATTGAAAAAGTTAGTTCAATTGAATTAATTAAACCTATTGATTTTTCAATTTTTTAGAAGATGAAAATTTATACCACATTTTATCATAGATGATCTGATTTCTTAAATTTTGATTTATTATTATTTTCTCACTTAACTAATGCAGTCGGTGGAAGGAATTCTTCCACGGTTCTACAACGAACAGAAAAATAAAGATGGTGAAACTCCTTACCAAATGTTTGTTAAAGAACATAAGAACATGTTAAAAGAAGCTGAAGCATGGATGAAGAAAACTGCAGAATCTTGTACAGTCATAGGTGCTCTTATTATCACTATTATGTTTGGTGCGGCTTTTACTGTTCCAGGTGGGAACGATCAAAATACAGGCTTCCCCATATTTTTGAACACAACGGCACCGGTAGAATCTTTTACGGTTACACCGTTTAAGGTATTCATAATATCAGATGCAATTTCCCTTTTCACTGCAGCCAGTTCAGTGTTAATATTTTTGGGGATTCTCACTGCACGTTACGCTTATGAAGATTTTCTTATATCATTGCCCATGAAGTTGATTTTTGGTCTTTCTTTTCTCTTCATCTCTATTGCAACAATGACAGTAGCATTTTGTGCTACTCTTTACGTGATGCTACGAGGTCAACAGAAGGAAGTCATTCCAATAACTGTGCTTGCTGGTATTCTTATCATTTGCCTTGTGTTGATGCAGCTTCCTCTTCTTCTTAACAATATGGCTTTAACTCCTAGGCCAAACATCTTTGATAGAAAAACCGCAATAGCACAGTTGTTTGAATTTCTTGCCCGTAAGATTCCTATCGTTCCATCTGTGGTAAAAGTAGTGGTCACTAAACTGATCCGACGGATCTAAGAAGCAGAAACGGATGGTCATGGTTAATTGTATTTTTCGTTTTTTAGCTATGTGAAGCAATTAAACGACTCCAGTCTATATATTTTCTAGTTGGAATAAATACTTGGTGGATCGATGTATATTCTTTCCAGATTTCGAAGTCAAATTCTACTTTGCAAATTACATTTTTATTGCTAATTCATTTTCTGCCTAAGTACAATAATTATATAATTAAAAGTTTTGTATATTTAAATTTAGAGACATCAGCAAGCATAACAGACATCATTTAGAGCATGGTTTTGCAGAGCTTTTAAGTAATTAACTTCCTTAAAAGCCGTTTGCTGTCTCGTAAATTTCTAGTCTTTTTGGAACGAAATTTTAAATATGGCATATAATCAAGTTTTAAAACAAGCATACAATCAGGTCGAATTCAAAATAAATAAAAGATTCAAAACCTTGAAGAAAGTCAGATTGTTTTATTCAAAAATGTCAAGAACAATTTTACAGATGTGTAGAATTTTGCAGAATGGGCCAAGCCCCAGACCACACTAGAGAACTCGGAAGGGCTCCATAAGTCTTGATTGGACCATGGATTGCACCGATTTACTACCTGGTTTGATCGGGAATGGCGCCATCGTCTAGATCTCAGGTGGGTAGACTGGTAGAGGCAACGAAGTGGCTGTCGGCCTTTTTTTTTTTTTTTTCACCGGCCAAAAAAAATCAGGATATCCTTTTTCTAATAATGTCATAATAATTTATCAGTACGTGATATAATATAAGTTTTAATTTTATTAAATTTATGATTTAATTATTATTAAATATTTTAATATTTTTAATGTTACACACTTATTTTTTTTTTCTTCATTTTATTCTTTAATTTCATTTATTCTTTTATTTCGATTATCACAAAATAGATAATCCATGTCAGCAGAGGGGTGTCCAAGTCATTGAATGAGTTCCAGGTAACTAAAAGCTGTCAAGGGAGGACTTGATTTTTGAATGTTACTTTTTTCAGGGTTGAAAACCCTTCTTCAGGGTAATAAGAATTGGCTTCGAGGACATATATACTTATTCAGCCCTGGCTCCAAGTCTGAAAAGTATGGAAAGGACTATTTCATTTGCACTGACCAAGTAATCTTCAATGCTGGTGCCTTGCCCGTGGTGGGTGAGAGTTGGAGAGCTGTACAAGTGATTCAGCATGATAACTAGTGATTATGTAATACAACATCATAGATAATCCTTTTGATTTTTCCCCTGTTTCAATTTCTTTGGGGAAGAAGTTAGAAAATCAATATTGTTTTGTAATATATCATTAGTGGAAAGAATTTTTTTTGTTACTTCTATTAACGTTTTTCAAGAGACATTCTAATAGTTAAGAATTTAAATTTTTATATTAGAGATATCAAATTTAAATCTTAAAACAAATAAAAAAGGATTTAAAAAGGAAAGAATGATCCTTTATTGTATATCACATTATTTAATATACAAAACGAGAAAAACTTATATTAACTCCATGAACAAACTAACAAAATGAGTTTCTTGTTAGAACAAGATAATCTCCTTCATCCCAACCATCACTACATATTAGTGCCATGAGAACTACAAGTAGAATGGAAAAGAGCACCAAAAGCATTTTAGAACTTTTATTCCGACGGCTGATTTTGTTGCTAGACTGGAGAATTTCAGTTTTAATAACGGGAACTACCTCAAGAGACTCTTGCAGATTACCATCAGCAGAACTATCTGTTGATGATACAGATTCAGAGACACCTTCATATTGCTCGCCATTATTACATAAACTTTCCTTCCCGTTAACCTCATGCATCAGGTCATGTTGAAAACCATTTTGCCTTGGGGATGGGCAGGATTGGAATCTTCCAGAGGATGGACTTCTGAACCTCCTTGTTTGTTTTTCAGAGAAGTCTGACTTAACAATATTAGGGTCCTGAAGTGAGTGAATTAGCTTTCTTAGAGTAGTGAAGATGTTAATGTCATCAACGTGAAGTGAGTGAATTAGCTTCCTTGGAGTAGTGAAGATGTCAATGTCATCAACGTTGATGTGACATCGTGACCTCTGAAATATATGATGAGCAACCAGATCAATACCAGAAAAAGGAAATTGTATTGCAGTACATTACATTTGTAGAACTAGTTGGCACAATATAACGAAATAAATTTGAGAAGCAATTTGGGAGGACAAATTTATCTGC